TAGAATAGCCTAATAACGCGGACATTTGCCATAGTTGCCACGCTTGGCAGACAGGTTAGCATCTGCAGTTTTTTTTTCTACTTGTTATTAGGAAAACATTGCTGTCTATTTTCTGGTTTGTTTCCTTCTGTCTCCTCTTACGACACTCGTGGGACGATATGGGATAGTGGACTTACACCGCTACTATACGGTTATAAAAGTACATTCATCTATATTATTAGTGTTAACTTAAAAGTCTTCTGAAAGGGTATCACAAGATTTGTGTCTTTAAACGGCGTAGAGGCATGCTACAGCTATAAAGGGTATTTTGCAATATACGACCTAATTTGCAGTAAATTTTTCAAAATAAGTAATATAGGCGAATGGTGAAGAAAGCTTAATAAAAAAAAATCTCAAAGATTCTGTCCTATTTATGTTTTAAATTCAGTGTGCGTGAATTATTTTAACTGATTGTCATTTGTCATTCATAAATACCTTAGCTTACTATTTTACTAGGCACGAACACATTCATAAGAGCCGCTCGGTCGGCAAAATCGTAGTGAATTGAATAGTACAAAGAGGACCGCGCGTAAGCGTAGTAGTTGCCCATAAATCACATTCAATTTGGGATCATTAAAATAAAAGTAGAAGCCTTATTTACTCTTATATTCAAAAATTGCAATAACGGTATTTCAATAGTTTTATATTTCATCTTAAGTATAAAATTTGGCTACTCTTTGAAATATAACCCTGTATATTATGGTAGTAGTACGATTGGGTCGGCTTGACTAGGGTAAAACCACGCTCTCATAGAATACTTGTGTGTTTGTGGTGAGTGTAGAGAACCGGAGACCCTTTTTAATAATGACAAGGTCCTCAACGCCACAGCATCCATATCCATCAAGTGGAGTGTGTGCTCGTTTGTCACCATTATTCAATAAAAAAATGTACAAGTATATAATACAATACTCTTCAACGACGAATATATGGACTAGTTACTCGTAATGAATTATAATTATTGAACTCTACAACTTGAACCATTGATTATTAATTTGTATGAGAAAACATCTATGTAAAGACGAGGCGGAGTAAGGCCCGCCACATACATACGGAATTCCGTTTCGAGATTCCGTTTCGGAATACCGAACGGTCGGCCACACACAAACGGAATCCCGTTTTGCTCGCAAAATATCGAACGGAAAACTACCGTACGTGTGTGGCGCGGGTCATAGATTTTATATGGACTTGCTGCGTTCGGGATTCCGAATCGGAATATCGAAACGGAATCTCGAAACGGAATTCCGCATGTATGTGGCCGGCCTAAGAGTGATGCGCAGTCCATTAACGGCGAGAGCGGGCGACTGCAACGCGCGACCTCATCCCGACTAAAGTTAATAAGTACATAATATATTTCAAATCCCAAATAAAACGCAGACAAGACACGCCTTTTGAACGAAGTCGCCGCGTCTCTTGTCTGTGTGGGCGCTACGCCTGTTATTATCATTATGTTGTATAATTTCTGAATGTAATTAGATCGAAGTAAATGCGTGACCCATTTCGCGCGGATCTAGCATAACTCTGAGCAACAAGTTTTGATCAAGTCATCAGGGTGTAAAAATATCCACTACACAATATTACTTACTTTTTTACTACGACAGAGGTAAACAAAACAGCAAATGAGCGACATTTTTTTCTAATAACAAATAAAAAAATACTGCACATGATTGTAACTATGGAAAATAAGCCCCCCCCCCCTTGTTCAGCAGTGGTCTTTTGATAGGTTGTTACAGTAGCTATTTGTCATATAAATCTAATATTGTGCTCCATTCTAACGCTTTGAAATATGTGTTAAGCCTGAGCCTAGTGTAATGGCTGAAATATATGTAAGTAGCACCGAGGTCTTCTTGTTTGAAAATATAAAATCGGTGTCATATGGCGGGTGAGGCATATCACCTACCTGCTCTAGAAAACAGATATAGAAATGCAGATGTATTGTCACTCCCTGAGGACTTAGTTGGATTGCCTCGTTGTCGATATATGAAACATATATGTATATAATATACATAAACATGATATTCTGTGAGAACGTAGTTTGCATCGTAATGAAGCATTATTTTAGTGCCGAATAAAACCCTTTGAATAAAACATTAAACAAAATGTATATTATATTGTTTTTTATGGATGACAAACCGACATTTTTTTTATAGAATGAGGGTGACAAATGAGCACACAGTCCACCTGATGATAAGTGGTTGTTGTGGCCCATAGACATCTACGTCTATCTTCGAAATTAAAATGCAGACGCGCTGTCCGCTGTGAGGACTAAGGTAGAATGCCTCTTTTCCAGTAAAATGGGTCTCTTGTTCTCTACACTCACCATACGAAACACAACAGCATTAAGCTGCTATTTTACGCTCGTATTTTACCAGTGGTAGAGCCACGCGGCATCTTTTGCTGTCGCACGGGTGGGCCGGCTCGAACCGGGGTGGTACCACGACCTCACAGAATATAAGCGTGAAGTAGAGGTTTACCTCTGCGTTTCGCTTGGTGAGTGCAGGTGGCCGGAGGCCCTTTTTACTGGAAATGAGGCATTCCATCTTAGTCCTCGCGGGTGACAACGCATCTGCATTTTGATTTGTAATAGAGGATAGATGTAGATGTCTATGGGCCGCAGCAACCACTTACCATCAGGTGGACTGTGTGCTCTGTTGTCACCCTTATCCTATAAAAAAATAGTATTCTGTGACAGCGTAGTCTTTCCCCGGTCGAGCCGACCCATTCTTGCTACAACTATACTATTAATATAGCTGCTCCATGGCTATACTACGTAAAAATATACCTGATGGTATATTTTTACATTATACATATACCTAATGGTAGATGGGTGCTGTTTTCTATAGACATCTACGCTTATATTCGATTAAGTACCATAATTCAGATATGTTGTCACTTCTGAGGACTTAGATGTAGTAAAGAGGGTAGTTAGTAGTAAAAACGGTATCTAGTTGTTGTCACTTACCATTCGAAACACAGCAATATTATGCAGCTAATTTCAATTGATATACTTTGTGTGGTCCTTACTCGGTTGAACATATCCATTCGTGTTGCTGACGTTATGTCAGAAGCATGAATGCGTACGCTGTAGCATGACCACATGAGTAAATAAACGGAAATGTGGTATGACTCTACGGCGTAAAAATCGTTTTGTATATAATTATACTTTATATAAAAAGTAAAAGACGACTTCAAATATCTAAAAAGAATATAAAAAAAATATTAAAATCACGGCTGTCACCCAGAGGGGTAGGCAGAGTCTACGGACTTCCATTTGACACGATCCTTTTTTTTATAGGATAAGGGTGACAAACGAGCACACAGTCCACCTGATGGTAAGTGGTTGCTGTGGCCCATAGACATCTACATCTATCCTCTATTACAAATCAATAAGTAGATGCGTTGTCACCCGTGAGGACTAAGATGGTATGCCTCATTTCCAGTAAAAAGGGCCTCCGGCCACCTGCACTCACCAAGCGAAATGCAGAGGTAAACCTCTACTTCACGCTGGTTTTCTGTGAGGTCGTGGTACCACCCCGGTTCGAGCCGGCCCATCCGTGCGACAGCAAAACCTGCCGCGTGGCTCTACCACTGACACACCTCACTCGTCTCCTTTACATCCATATATCTATACATACACGCTCGTCGGTTAAGGGTGCTCCTCTGGCCCATTTTCAATATATCGCCAATTTGGTCGATAAACCTGCGTCTAGTAACTTAAATCAAACATTTTAAAAAACCTTGAAACAAAAAGAGATGATGATCTCCAAAGGTCTAAACTTATTTTCTTGAAAATAGCTAAGAAGACTCTCGATTAAGTAAATTTTCAAACAAAAAAAAAACTAAATCAAAATCGGTTCATCCGTTCAGGAGCGACGATGTCACAGACAGGCACTCAGATGCACACTACAAACTTATAACACCCATCTGTTTTAGTCGGGCGTTAATAATAATTTCCACATAATGAGGGCTAATAATTTTCTGTTCACCAGATGTCGCATGTTGACAGGTATAGTTTTTTTGTTACACAATGTAATTTAATTGAGAAGTTGGTTTTTAATAATAGTTTATCAGTTTTTAGAGTATTATATTAATACACAAAACAATGCGTCAGTGGCTTGCTCTTTAATTGTTTGCACATTTTTAACTTTTTTTGATTTTTCTACTTTTATGAATATCTGTGGGTTATTTTCTTAATTTTTTATCGTATTAATATAAAATATAGCTAATAGTACAGAAAGAAACGGTAAACTTTACATTTTTCGAACATATTAACTTCCCCACTATGAAATCTTTCAAATATTATACCTCACTTTTAAGTTGGCAGAAACAGTCGTGGACGCCTTCATTGCTTCAGAATACGGTGCTATGATATAGTATTTAGCCGAATAAAACCCTGACTTGAGAACCTTTACCCTTTTGTGTGGGTTAAGTAATGTCACATGGAATGGCTCAAGGTAGCAATTAGAAAATCTTTTAAAGTGTTACAATAAAAACTTCAAACCCTATTTCCCACTCTTAAGAGCGGTTTTTTTTTTCTAATATTCATCACTACCATCCCAGAACTATTTAATAATAAAAGAATTATTAAAATCGTTTCACAAATAATAATGTCCTCCAGACCAAATTCCGGTCCCGGCGACCAGACTCAACGGAGACTAGCCATCTGCGCAAGAGAGGATTATAGTGCCCAAAAGAATTGCGAACACAGGTATCTATTCCCTCACTTTCAATGTCCGATGGGATAGCAACTCGACACGACCGGAGAGTGATCAAACGCAGCACTAACGGCTTTACGTGCATATCGAAAACTTCCTGACTTCGGGCTGGTAGTGTGAATTTCTTGACAGAAAAATCCAATAACTGATTTTGGCCCGCCAGGGATTCGAACCCGGGATCTCTTCTTTTTTGGGGTCGGCTTAAACGCATATTATATGTACCTTTAAATAGTTACAAAAAATTCTTACCTTAAAGCTGAAAGTTCCGCTAGGAAAGAGTTGCCGTCAACTGGCTTGGATCGATTCTTGAAGACAAGCATAGGTAGGTCACCCATCTGCTGTACTGCACTATCTGTATCAGCAAACCGCTGTGTCAGATTTGACCTGCACAAAATGAACACAAGTTAATGTTAAGACATGATACCATGGTATAATTGATGATATCCAGGCTTTTGGTCAGAGTAGCTGGATGATGATATGATGGTGGTCTGATTATTTTTTACAATATTTATATTATACTGGATATTTTTACAATACATACTTCTCTTCCTTCATTTTGATGCGTTTTGTTATTTATGAACCTAAACCTAAATATTACCACATATAATTCGTTTGGTAACTTTAGACTGTACGAGGTGGTAGGGCTCCATTTCTACTTTGTTTGGTTAGCTACCACCGTCTCACCTATGGTATAAAACAATTTTTACCGATTTTATTGCATTTAATTTACTTATTTTAATTACTATATTAATTGTTCTTTCACGCGGGTTTCAACATATAGCTGACGTGCGGCACCGACGCTGTGGGAAGTCTGCAGTTTGTGAACATGTTTAAGATCGTCCCGGCCATTACATCAGAATTTATAGACAACAAATCCTTGCAAAAGATCACCGATTCCTACCAAGGATGATACGCGAGGCTATTGAAATTTAAAAAAATCCTAATTTCAACAGAGAAGATGGATGGGTGCTGCCGTCTGCTTGGGATTCCATAATTAACAAAATTAAATCCAAGCCCAGGCATACCACTGCAAGACTTCAAGATACTCTAAGCTCATTCTGCGTAGATCGACCACAAAAACGTTGGCGGGGAAGTATAACCGCTCAGATAAATGAATAAGTGCTCATATTTGCTCACAAAATGCTCAATTCAAATCCGCAATTGCTCACACTATTAACTAATTATTTAATTAATTAATAATAATTAAAAGTAGAAAATTGTTTTTGCCTATTATACCTAAACCAAATGAACTTTTCTTAAAATGAATAAGTGCTGATAATTGCTCACAAAATTCTCAATTTTAATCCGCAATTGCTCACACTATTAACTAATTATTTAACAAGTTATTAATAATCAAAAGTACAAAATTGTATTTGCCTTAGATGCTTAGATTTATGAATTAGTGCACTTTAATTATTAATAACTGATTAAATAATTAAGGCATTTTGAGAACAATTAAGAGCACTTGTTTATTTTAAGAAAAGTTTATTAGTTTAAGTATGATTGGCAAAACAATGTTGTACTTTTGCTTATTAATAACTGATTAAATAATTAAGGCATTTTGAGAACAATTAAGAGCACTTGTTTATTTTAAGAAAAGTTTATTAGTTTAAGTATGATTGACAAAACAATGTTGTACTTTTACTTATTAATAACTGATTAAATAATTAATTAATAGTGTGAGCAATTGCGGATTTGAATTGAGCATTTTGTGAGCAATTAAGTGCACTTATTCATAAATCTGAGCGGTTAAGGCAAAATAATTTTGTACATTTAATTATTAATAACTAGTTAAACAATTAATTAATAGAGTGAGCAACTGCGGATATGAATTGAGCATTTTGTGAACAATTAAAAGCATATATTAATTTTAAGAAAAGTTCAACCTGTAATAGTTAAAAACAATTTCGTACTTTTAATTATTTATAACTTATTAAATAATTAATTTATAGTGTAATTAATTGCGAATTTGAATTGAGCATTTCTAGAGCAATTAAGAGCACTTATTCATATATCTGAGTGGTTTAGGAAAAAACAATTTTGTACTTTTAATTATTAATAATTAATTTATTAATTAATAGTGTGAGCAGTTGCGGATTTGAATTGAGCATTTTGTGAGCAGTTAAGAGCACTTATTCATTAATCTGAGCGGTTATACTTCCAAACCAACTTTTTGTGGTCGTAGATCGAATCAAGAATTAATATTCAAAACTGAAGGTAGTCGGGCTAACTGTGAGATGGGACGTCAAACGTCTCAGTCCCCTCCGTGACCATGGGTTGCTGTAAAGCACCCGAAACATCGGGTATTAAATAAGTAAATTAATCGTGATAAAATCTTTAAAAATAGTTTTATTCTATGTGTAATTTTCGCGTAAATATAAGAAATCATTACACTCTTACCCATTTCTGCCGCCAAGTAGCTTTCACTTCTGTGTCCCGGAAGGCATAGAGAACCGGTAAAATAACAGGCTGTGAACCATTCCATATTAGTCCGCAGAGATTACGCCGCAAACAGCCTTCAAGAAAAGAGCTACTCCTTTTTAAAAGGCCGGCAATGCATCTGCAATTCCCCTGGTGTTGCAGTTGGGCGGCGGTAGTCACTTACCATCAAGTGAGCCGCATGCTCGTTTTTCCCCTCTGCTATAAAAAAGCTTTCTGTGTAAGCAGTTGAATGCAAGTGTCCATCGACTGCAGTAGCCACTTACCATCAGGTGGAATGTAAGCTCGTTTGTCACTTCAGCACTTATTAAACTTTTAAATATAATTTAAAATTAAAAATTTTGTACAACCGACTTCATTAAGAATTATTAAAAATATCTCAAAAACTGTTAATCAGATCTTGATAAAATTTATATGGGACCACATTAGCGGCACCAGTTCTCAATGCTGCTGATTGCTGATTTATCACGTGCTCGGCGGTGAAGAAAGACATCGTGAGGAAACCTGCATATCTAAGAAATAAAAAAATATTTCGAAAACATGTAAAGTTCACCAACACGCATTGGACATTTCTTTGCCCTAAAACCTTCTCAGAAATGAGAGGTCTGTGGCCAGCAGTGGAACGTGTATAGGCTGTAACTTCTTCTTTCAAATATAGAAACCAGTCATCAATTAAAGTCTTAATACGAGTACAGAGCATTAAATAATAGAGCAGAAATATGGGTCCTAAATTAGGTTAGTAAATACCTATACATTGTGCGCGAACTTGCAAGTTTCGACGTTGTAAATATCCATTCAGAAATTAAGAAGTCTGAAACGCTTACAAGCAAATATTAACTGATATAATATATAACTTTTAAACTTAATTTTTTTTTACTTTTTTTAAACTTAAATTTTACGGGGGTCAAATTCAAATCGTTTATTGCGAATATAGATTGATACAGTTGGTAATTACGTAGTTTATCACTTATAGAACAAAAATTTAGTACAGCTATATTCCGTCATTTGGCATGCAATGTCCATCACATTTTATTACTTTTATATTAAATTACTTAAACAGCCCTAGTTATAATTGGAGTTCACATTATACAAAATCAAAAATAATAGCGATAAGTCAATTTAGATAATATTATATAAGTCAAGTCAATTTAGTTATTCTAACAATCAATTATTGAATTTCATATTTGTCTTCGAAATATTCTTTCACACTGTAGTATGCCCTATTAACAAGAAATTGCTTCAATAGCATTTTAAACTTATCTATATTGCAGCATCTCAAAATGTGTTTTTAGGGTTCTGAAGCCAAATGGCAAAAAACGGAACCCTTATGGATTCGTCATGTCTGTCTGTCTGTCAGTTCGTCCGTGACAGCCACTTTTTTCCGAAACTGTAAGAACTATGCTGTTGAAACTTGGTAAGTAGATGTATTCTGTGAACCGCATTAATATTTTTACACAAAAATAGAAAAAAAAAACAATAAATTTTGGGGGTTCCCCATATTCAGAACTGAAACTCAAAAATGTTTTTTCATCAAACCCATACGTGTGGGGTATCTATAGAGAGGTCTTCAAAATTATATTGAGGTTTCTTATATAATTTTTTTCCAAACTGAATAGTTTGCACACATTTTTCCACTTCCAAAGTGGAAAAATGTGTGCCCCCCCCCAATGTAACTTCTAAAATAAGAGAATGATAAAACTTAAAAAAATATATGATGTACATTACCATGTAAACTTTAAATTGGTTTGGAAGAGATCTAGTAAGTAGTTTTCTTTAATACGTCATAAATCGTAAATTATGTTACTTGCTGCTACTCTTCTCGGAGTTGAGCGCTTTTATTTTTTTTATAGAATAAAGGTGATAAACGAGCACACAGCCCACCTGATAGTAAGTGGTTGCTGTGGCCCATAGACATCTACATCTATCTTCGATTACGAATCAAAATACAGATGCGTCGTCACTCGTGTGGACTAAGATGGAATGCTGGTATTCCAGTAAAAAGGGTCTCCGGTTCTCTACACTCACCATACGAAACACAGCAGCGTTAAGCTGCTATTTTACGCTGGTATTCTGTGAGAGCGTGGTCCTGCCCCGGTCGGGCCGACCCATTCGTGCTACAACCATAAATAGCTACAGCATGGCTCTACCGCGTAAAAAATGTAATAATGTGTAATAATGGTAAATGGCTATTTGTTTTATTTTTATTTGTTTTATTTGTTTTTTTTTTAAGGCACATTCCTTAATACGACAAAGATGGAAAGTTTGGCGGTGAGAATACATGTCAATACTATACTGTATTTACATTTCATGACTTCTACATATAGGCTACTTTTATAAAAAAATATTTTTGTTTGTTTGTTCGTCTTTTACGCTTTCTCATAGCATGCGTTAGCGCGTAATTAAGGTACGATCTGTCAGGCACATCTGTTCTTCGTAAGCACACACATCTACGCCGTACCCAATCTGTTCGTCCATCCGTCACCCGCCTGAGAACAGCGGGAAGATATTAGGCAGAATATTTTGAACTTTTTCAAAAAAATATTCTTTTTTGAAAAGGCTAGCTAATATAGTTATAAATTTTAATAAAAAGTAAAAACCCACTTCAAATTGCTAGAAAAGAAGTTATTTATTAACTTCTTTTAGCTACTCTTAGGGGTGGAATTTTTCCTCCAAATTTATGTAAAAATACCCTTGAAGTATAACCTATTTAATATAAAAATAATAATTTAAATCGGTTCTCAGTCTGTAAAGATATAATATAAAATTCCTTAATAAATAGTCCAAAATGAAAAAAATTCCCTTATTTTCCACCCTTCGGGGCGAAATTTTTTCTTCAAAATTTAATCAGACAACCCATAAGGTTAGCTTATTTAATAAAAAAAGTACCATTATAATCGGTTTACAATCTACGACAGTATCGCGTGACATACGTACAAAAAACATAC